GCCTTAACCCTATCCAGAAGCCAAAAGCAACACTCCAGACCCTTTCCTTCATCCCCTGCCGAGACCCCTGCAGAGCACACTGCCGTAACAAGACCTCAGACCACAGCATCCCCTGCCTACCCAGTGTGCTTCCACCCTCCCACCCGGTATCGTCACTTTACTCCCAGAAATTTCCCCAGAAGGGACCCTCACTGAGACCTCTCCAAAGTCACCAAATACCATGCAAAGGGAGAGAGAGTTAGGGGCCAGACCATTATAGGTCTGGAAAGGAGAGGGAGGGGGAAGGTTGGGGGAAGCTGAGGACAAGCGAATGTGAGAATTGGGAGAGGAGAAATTATGGGCCCGGGAGAACTGCCAGTCGCTGCCTCCCGTTACCTGTCCCCCAAGAGGGCTTCTTTCGGCTCCAGGAGGGGGGCGCCCCGGTCCGGGCCCACTTTTCTGGCATCTCTTTGGGGACCGTCATGATCCCGGTTTGAGCGGGGGAGGGCGGCCTGTTTGTCGGTCGGTCCTTGGGCTCAGCGGCGCCGATGGGGCGGCCCCCCGGTAAGGCGCTGGAGCTGCGGCCACTCAGAGGGGAGCCTGGGCCGTCGGGCGCGCGCCCTACCTGCCGCCCCGGCCATTCTCTCAGCCTCCCTCACCCGGGGACGCCACGCGCTCAACTGCGGGGCCCAGCGGACACCGTGAGCCGAGTGGTCCCGAGCCGGCGCGCGCCCGGGCTCCGCCCCCACCCGCTCCCGCTGCAGGGCTGCGGCCTGCCAGCGCCGCGTAGGCGAAAGCTCTCACCCAGCCCCGCCTCCCCGCCCGGCCAATGCGGGCGAGGGGACGACGTTGTCGGGGGCAACCGCTGTCGTCCCACCCCCACCCCGCCCACAGGAAAACGAGAAGGACCCGGGCGGATGGAAAAAGGAGCCGAGGAAGGAGGGAGACCAGGAGGTGTGAGGATGAAGGGGAGTAGATGGAAACACAGCTCCCCAGGCTCTACAGGCCAGAGAATAGGAGGTCCAGGTGCCCAAAGACAACAGTCTATGTGTTTAGGAATGAGGGGCAGGTACTCAGCACCCTCCCAGAGAATCCAGCTCAGGGATTAAGGGAAAGAGTTCGGTTTCCTAGGTTCCTGCCAGCATGGGTAGGACTCCCAACCTGCCCTCCTTCAATGTCCTTACCAGTTGTCCCTCTCCTCTTTGCTCTCTGAGCCGTAACACCCACCCATGGTAGTCCCGGCAACATGTCCCCGCCCCTCAATTCCTGCCTGTCTTACCTGGGGGGCGCTTTTTTGCACACAATGCCATCTCACCCACCAAGGTCCCAGCAATCCCATGGGAGACCCTGCAGGAAGATGACATGTGCATGAGGTCAAGAACCTGAAGGTGACCCTTCATTCCCTTCTTCAGACTCCTCCTAAGGGTTCTTTCCCAGTTTTGACCTTGCCCCTCCATCACCAGCCTTGCCTACCAACTCCCCACCAACACTCTGCTCTTACTGCCCTGATGGGTCCCTGAGAAAGGAGACTTCCCCGCCACATCCCCCCATGCCTCTGCCTTGGGTAACATGGGGGGACTGACCGCTTAAAAAACCAAGACCTGCAGGGAAAGGAAGGGGGCAGAGAGAGCAGGCCAGATATTGACTGGAGGGGCACAGCTCTCTTAGATATCCATCTCAGGGACAACGGATGCACCCATGTGCCCTCCTGGCGGCACTGAGTGGTGTCTGTGTTCACTGGAAAGCAGAATTTCCACCAAAGGGTAGGGTTGAGGGAACACCAGTCAGGAAACACCTGGCAGAGCATCAGGAAACAGGGTGGATAGGCTCCACCCTTCTCAAAAAGTTTAAAGACTATACTTTCAGGGATCATTTCTATAGTTTTTGACTCAAAAAGTGTATAACCCTCCAATTCCACCCCCTCCCCATTACTGGAGCTTCTGTTATCACCTCCTCCAGGGGAACTCACATTAGAAGCACGGGCTTCTCTTCCTGCGCACAGTCCCCAAACACTTCCTCTAAATCTGGGTCAGCTACCTTCTGGACTAGCAAAGGGATCTTCCCAACCCCGTGGGGGGTTATCCCTCTCTCTCCCACCCCACACCTAGTCCAGTCAGTATGGCACTGGGTACAGATTCAGGGAGCATCAGTCAGATGGACCTCTGCTTCCTTCCATCTTCCCGTGTCCTTCCTTTCACCTAAAAACGTAAAAGTTCTGGCTTACGAGACAGTGTCACAGGGCCTCACCCCTATTCCCCAGCCTGGCCCAAAGGAAACTGCTAGGCCCTGGGTCCTCTTGTCACCTCCTCTTTCTTTGTCTGGGTGGAAAGCCTTCCTCCTCCTCCTCAGCTCCCCTCTATCCAGCCTACGGGGCACACCCCGCCAGCCTGTCAGCCCCAAGAGATACTAATTGCCTGTCTGCCCAACCTCTATAATTACAGACTCTGGCCACAGTCCTGTCACCCACACCAGTCCTCTTCACAAACTCAGATTCCCTTCCAAACCCCAGGTCAGGCAATACTGAAAGCCAGAAGTCCCTTTCCTCCCTGACCCTCGCCAACCCTGGCAGCCAAAGGTGCCTGGCTCAGGAAGAAAAACCTCATCCACATTTTAGAGATGCCAAGCCCTCCCCCAGGGCCCCCAGCCAGGGTCTCCACCCAGTCTAGAGTGTGAGTCATGGCAGGGTGGGGTGTGGAGGGAGAAGTCAAAGGAAAGGATGCATGGGTGGGCATCACAAGTCCCTCAGCCAGCTCAGCGCTTTCAAGGAGGCAATCAGGAAACACTATCAGCCCACAGACCTGGGTTTGAGTCCTACCAGAGAGTTCATGACTCTGCCCAGGAAAGCTCTTTTACTTCCACGACCCTGGGAAGACTGAAAGCTAGCTTGACCCCACCCATCTTCCCCTCTGGGGGGCTGTACTAGGAAGGGAAAGGGGGGAGCCCTGGGAAAAGGGACTCTCCTCACTTCTCCTTCCCAGCCTCACACAGGCTGCCAGGGCCATTAGCCATGTCGCCCTGCCCCAGCTCCAGCCCCAGCCCCAGCCCCAGCTCCATCTGCAGCCACATTTAGGATAAAAATAGCCAGCTCTGAGAAGAAGACAATGCTCCACGGAGGAAAACGGCTCCTGAGCCTTCTAGACGTGGCCCCTGCGGCCGGGCGGGGCGGGGGCGGGGGCGCGGGCGGAGACTGACCCCCTTCTCTCAGAGGAGGCATAGTCCTCTAGCAGGGATACTCGTGGGCAGGTCCGGGAAACAGCAGGAAGTGGAATCCAACAGCCTCAGCTCCCTTGCCTCCACCACCACCCCCTGGCCACTTTCCGTACCTAAGGACCGAACCCAAGACTCACTCCCCAGCTTTGAGCTCCCAGACCGACCACCTCTCCTGCACCCTTGCTTTTCTTCACGCAGAGACAAAGCCTATCAGTCCCCGACTCCCTCCTCCCGGCACCCGAACCCTGGGACCCTGGTTCCTCCTCTCATCCCCACAACTCTCCAGGCGGCTCTCCTCTCTCCTCTGCTCCATGAGCCTCTTCTCCTTGGCACCCCTGCGCCCCTTGCCTGGTCTCCACGCGCCCCTCAGTACCCATCCTCCCGTTCTACAGAAAGCCTCCCAAGCTCCCCATCCTCAGGTGCCCCCAACACCCTCTTCTCCACCATCTCACTGGCCCCCGACTCCCTGTCCAGTCCTCCCACATTCCCCGCCGGCCCCTACGCCCCGAGTTCCTGTCCGCAGTCGCATCTGCCTCAGCCCTCCGCCCGGCGCTCCGGGGCTGCCCCGCCTCGCCTCGCCTCCCTCGCCTCGCCTCACCTCACCTCAGCGCTCAGCGCTCAGTGCCCGCCCCGGCGGCCCCGTTCTGCCCATGCCGGGGGCTGGGGCGGGGGGCGCTCAGCTCGGCTCCCCGCGGGCTCCCGCCCCCCAGTTGCAGCCCCGCTCCCCCCAGGGCCTCGGCCCGCTACTTTGTGTCCACGGCAGGGCGGAAGTGACGGAGGGGGCGGGGGGCGGGAGGGGGTTTTGGGGAGAGGGAGAGGAGGCGAGAGACGCCATCTTTGTGCGGGGCAGGGGGGAGGGTCTTAATCCTTGAGCAGTCCAACTGGACCCCGTCGTATCCCCCTCCCACCCACTGTCAACTCCATCCCACCTCCAAAGCATCCGTGAATCAACCAGGAGGCGAGAAGGTTCTGAGATTTGTTTTACATGGAAGAAAGGGAACTAGAGAAAGCTGTTTCCTCTGCTGAAACGGAGTCGTCTTCGGGGAGGAGCATGAGGGCCGGAGAAGCAGTGGACAACGAGAATTTTCCTCAACTCCATTCATCCCTTAACCCTTCATTCATGCCCATTGAATCCTTCTGTGTCTTCGCCTTCTTTCCTTCCCCAGCACGTCTCGTGGTAATGCATCCTGCCCGGAATGCTTGCATATTGGGTTGTGCCTCAGTTTCTCCGCTTTCCTCTACCGGTCTCTAGGTGCTTGAATGGCCGTGTTCCACCGCCAGTCCTGTCTTCTCCGCCACCCTACACCCCTGCCTCCGCCACTCCACCACGCCCCCTCGGTGGAGGCAGTTTCCCAGCCCGTACCTATTATCTGGGGGCTGGCTGAACCTAAAGGCAGAGGTGCTGAGGTTACGAGAACTGGGAGTCAGGCAATGGAGACCAAGCTTGGGAAGAAGCCCCCAGGGCTATGCCCCTCCACTGGACTGCCGGCCCCCACCACCCTGCAGATTCTCCCAGCTTTCCTCGTCAGGCTCCCAAGGGTGCACACCCTCTGGTGGCCATTTTTAGGAACTACGTTCCTGGAAGCCCACAGGGTCCCAAAACCGGCTTGGGAGAAGAGAGGATGAAGACTGGACCATATCCACACAGTTTCCCTCTCCAGGTATCCTCCCCAGGTTAGGAGGAAGCCTAGAAGAGTAAACAGAGGGGCTCCCCAAGGTCTGCTGTCATCAGGCCTGGGTCTCTGGCCATCTTCAGTGTCCATGAGGGAGGTAGGATTGCTGTGTCAGAATCATAGCTCATGCTATGGCATCTAATCAGAAGCAGGAGTTTCCACGTCTAAGGCTTTATGTTGAACAAACTCTAGAGCCAGAGCTGGCTCTGAATCCTCAGGGTGGTGCAAAGCCACCAGCAGCTGGTATGTGGCTGTGCCAAGGGTGGCCCCAACCATAGGAGCCACCACAGGCACCCACCACCAGCCATTACCAGCACTGCAAAAGAAGGACAAAAGAGAGATATCAGGGAAGGCTATCTCTGATAGGGATAAGGGGCAGTAACAAGAAAACTCCCTAAAGTGGTTTCTGGGATGATGGACACCAGGAAGAAGGTGTCTTGGCACTAAAGCCTAGCACTTAGAGAGGAAGAGTCCCCAAGAGAGATTAGTCCAGCCTCTTGCCTTAGGTAATTACCTGAATATACCTGTTTTGCTGATGAGGTCACTGATGCCCAAAGAGGTAATATGTATCCAGAACACAAACTCTAAATCTTACTGTTTCAGTGAAAAGGGTAGCGGGGGGAGGGCCAGAAGCAAAGGGAGAACTGGGGCACTGTCCTAAGAGACCAAGAGAACTATTTAAGAGGAGAAAGCTGGCAACCCGGGGACAGAACCTTTGACAGAGGGAGGTGAGTGGAGGGACAGCACCAGGGGAGGCCGTGTCACACCTGAAGACTTCAGGGCCCCAGCCAGCCACATAGGTGAAAAGTCGTGGGCCGAGGTCCCGGGCAGGGTTGAGTGGGAATCCACAGTTGGCACCCATGGATAGCCCGATGGCCAGGATCAGCAGCCCCACTGCCACAGGCTCCAGACCTGCAGGTACTCCCTTATTCCGTGTGTCCAGGATGGCCAAGATCCCCACAATCAGGATCCCAGTGCCCAGAACCTTGGAGTGGACAGATGCAGAGGGGTTCCCAACAGCTGCCAGATATTCCACCTTCCCTTTCTCACCCAGACAGTCCAAGCCACCAGTCTGTCATCTGACTTTGTCCAATACCGGCAGCTGGGTTGGGGAATGGTGCAGAGATAGTCCTAACCCCACGCCCCATCCCACCCAAAGACTTAACAATAGGCTAGGGTCCCAGAGAGCAGGAACAAAGGTCATCGTTCTCCCAGGTCTTCCCCTCACGTTTACCTGATCCAGGAAGCCATTATTCAGGGACAGATAGGGAGCAGGGTAGGTGGCAAAGATGGAAGCTGTCTCCTTAGGGCCAATCACTGTCAGGTTCCCTCCTGTATAGTTCTGTAGGGCATCTGTCGGGGAGGAAAACACCCAGGATTTCCATCTTTCTCATTCAAAACCACTCCAAGACAACACTGTGCACACACAGATGCCCCCAATGTTTTCCCATCTGTTACCATAGTAGAGAGCATAGGTGGTTCCGGAGGCACAGAAAGCAGACAGTAGCTGCACCAAGGAGTAAATGGGAAGCTTGGCCCAGGGGAGGCGTCCCAGGAGGCACATGGCCAGGGAAAAGGCGGGATTCAGGTGAGCCCCTTCAAGGATCAAGGAGAAAAAAAGCCAGCATCTGTTAAGTGTCACTGCCAGGCACCACCAGGTAACATTGCTTTTCCTCCCCACAGTTCTTAAGGCGGACGTTGCCATTCCCATCATATAAATTAGGAAGTTGAAGCCCAAGGTTAAGCAACTTGTCAAGGTCACATAATGAAGCCAAAGTCTGCTCTTTCCACTACAGTGCCTGTGTCTCAACGTTCCAGCCAGGCACACTGATGCTCTTGTGTTTCTGGGGGACAGAAGATGAGGTCCTGAGCAAAGATGAACCCCAGAGCTTCAGGTGGGGGACATTAAGAAGACAGCACTTACCCGTAATACCTTGTCATAGATCTCTGTCTAGGTGAGCAGAGGATTAATGTGAGGAAGGGGTATGGAGAGATACAGAAAGAGGAGGAGCTGGAATGAGCTAAAGGCATATCTCAGTCCAGGGCACTGATCAAGCTCAAGGAGACAATGTCCATGAGTCACCTTTTCATCATCACCATACACCCACACTCACATACATATCCTACCATGTCTAATGACCAGACACCCTCTACTCACCTGAGACATTACCACTCACATAAATGGCTATCATAACAGCCAGAGAGCCAGCCAGAAACATGGTGAAGAAGTTGCCTTTGGTTTCTCCACTGGTGACAGCCTGGGCCACAGCACCCTGGGTGAGGAGCTGGTGGGGAGAGAGAAGATGAGGAGCAAGCAACCAGGAATAGGGAACCTAGTGGACCTAAAGGGGAAAAGTGAGGGGAGCAGCTAAAAGAGTTGAACGATGAACATATGTGAGGAATCAGCAAGGAACGGAGAAAAGCAGAAAGAGGGAAGGGAAAAGAAACGGGAGAAGGGAAAAACAGTAAAGAAAGGGAAGGAGGGTATGAGACAGAAAGGGACAAGAATAAAAATGAAGTAGGAAAGGAATATAAGAGACAAGAGGGGAACAGAAACAGAAATGAGAGATAGCTAAAAGGAAGCAGGACACCAAGAGAAAGAGATAAGAACACCAGGAGGTGCCAAAAGCTTTTGCCCACCTCCCATTACCTACCCCCTATTACCCTGCCTACCATGAGCACAAACACACCCAGAAACTCTGCCAGGCACTGTCGGGCCAGGATGCTGTGGATCCGGAACCGGCCCTTGACTTCTGTCAGGAGCTGAATTTGGGCCATAGTGAAGACTCCCTGTCTCTGGTCACCGCTCCCTCTGTCTGCATAGGCACACTGCTGCTACACAGGTAGGCCTGCCAGGGGAAAAGATAAGGAAAAGACTTTAAAACCAATTAGCTCAGCTCTGAAACAGCAGTTAGTGTATATGCATGTGTAGAGGGAGTCAAGAGATAACAAGTGAATGTCCATGTGGGCAGGGTTCAGTGCACAGCCAGAGCCTGGATTTTGCCCAGGTGCCTCTCTGACTTTCCTCCCTTTTCCTCCCAGGAGCACCCTCCTCCTAGGCTGAAAGATTGAAGGGAAGTACCCTGCTTCATATACATTAGTCCTCAAAACAACTTTGTATTCAGTAGGACTATTGCTCTGGTTCTCTAAATGAGGATACTGAGAGAGCCTTATAATTCCCCAAGTCCACACAGCTAGTTAATGGCTAAGTCTGAATTCAAATCCAGATTTTCTGACTCTCCATCTATATGAGAAGCATTGTGGAATAATGGAGAAGCATTATTCCACAATGTTTCTCATGTAGAATGTGAAGACTTTCCTCACACTATTTGGATACTTGGAAAACTCAGTAGGTATCTAGAGACTGTGCTGAAGACCATAGACTGCAGAAATAAAACCCACATGACGGACTGCAGCAGTGGCAAGGAGAGCAGCCTGGAGCTCCTCGGGGTACCTGGTAGGGGTAAGTGTGCAGCAAAGCAATGATCATCACCGAGCCTGAGCACTGAGCACACCAAGGAGTGGGTCATACTTGAAGGGTCTAAGTGCAAAGGGTGGCTTTTGATTTTGGGGACAACCAACTGGGACTCAGTCAAAAAGAAGTTCCTAGCCCTGACCGGTGTAGCTCAGTTGGTTGGACATTGAGCCCGGAAAGCAAAAGGTCGCCAGTCCAGTTCTGGGTCAGGGCACATCCCTGGGTTGCAGGTGGGGTCCCCAGTTGGGGCACACATATAGGAGGCAATCAATAGATGTTTCTGTCCCCCTTTCTCCCTCCCATCCCCTCTCTCTAACAATAAATAATATCTTTTTTTAAAAAAAAAGAACTACCTAAACAACAAGCTGCCTACCGCAATCTTGGTCAGAATTTGTCAGAGCACCGCAGATACAGTGCCTGTTGCGGGGGCCCCACAGATACAGGTACCTGTCAGGAGTCCAGGTGTGGATAGTGGTTTCAAGGATCATGTGCTGCCCACAGCCTCCTCCTCATCAATATGTGGAGCTGAGGCAGCTGGGACATGGTGACACCAAGAGAGTTGAATCCTCCAGAATCATTGAGGGTCTCAGCCACAAAGTGATTGTGCCAGTGCTTTGTGGGAGGAACTATACCCTGGTCTTAACAGAAACGAGCTCTGTGTTTGCATTTGGAGAACAAGATGGGGCCGCTGGGCCTTGGTAACCAGACGGATGACATGTCCTGAGCGTCACACAAATAATGTACAATGGCCAGGCAATTACTAAAATGGCCTGTGGGGCTGAGTTCAGTATCATAATGGATTGCAAAGGAAACCTCTGTTCCTTCAGGTGCCCTGAATATGGTCAGCTAGGACACAACTCAGACAGGAAGTTCATTGCCAGGGCTCAGCACATAGAGTACGAGTGTAAGCTGGTGTCCCAGTGAGTGGCCATCTTCATCGAGAGACAAAAGAGGGGCAGATTCTGCCAGTCCCCAATGTAGGTGTATGAGATGTGGCCTGTGGTGCTAATCATGTGGTGGTCCTTGACTCCCAGAAGAGCATCTTCTTCTGGGGTTTCAGTGGCTACAGCTAGCTGGGCCATGCTGTGCAGGACAAGACGGTCCCCTGCCTGGTGGAGCTATTCAGCTTTCCTGGGTGTGGGGTATCCCCAATCTATGCTGGCTATACCTGCTCCTTCACTATCATTGAAGTGGGTGGGTTTTTTTTTTCTGGGGACCACCAACATGTCCTGTGAATATACCATGTATCGGAAGGCTGTGCAGGACCTCTGGGACAATCCAGAGCCTGGCTTGTGGGAAGAGCAGCATCACTGTGGTTGTGGAGAAAAACGGCCTTCACCGACTTTCGGAAAACTGGACCATGGGGACCACAAGCCCAAGCTTTCCACTGCAGCTCAAGAAGTGAAGATGCTGGATGGCATTTTCACAGAGCAGGTTGCCATGGGTTGTGTGCACTTCTTGGTGATAGCAAAGATGAAAGTGAGACCAAGAAGAAAATCAAGAAACTGCCAGGGTGGTCCTGGTGGTGTGGCTCAGTTGGTTGGAGCATAGCATGGTAGCCACGTAGGATCCCTGGTTGTGGTGCAAACAGGAGGCGGCCACTAGATGCTTCTCTCTCACATCAATGTTTTTCTCTCTCCCTTCCTCTCTCTCTAAGGCAATGAAAAAATACCCACAGGTCAGGGAAGGAAGGAAAGAAAGGAGGGAGGGAGGGAGGAAAGGAAAGTGAAAGAAACTGCCAACGTATAACCCCTGCACCCTCTGATTGTCCTGGAGTCTCCAGCTCCACACCTGTCATGGCAGCTGTTATTTTCATCTGCACTGGGACAGGAAGTCAAGAGGGATTTAAACAAGCAAAAGTTGACTAAAGGTGCAGTTTTTTGTTAGACTTCTTAAGGTTTCGTTTTATAAGTGATTCAACATCAACTACCTTTTCTGTATGCTTCCCAAAGTGTTTTTTCTCTTAATGTTTAATTAAAATATTTGCTCATAAATAAATAAACATATCCCACACAATGAACGTTTGGACTTCCTTCATGCAGAGTCTCACCTTGAGTAGAGAATGCTCTAGCTTTGTGTCTAGTGCCATGGCTCCAGATGAAGGCTTCACACCTATGCTGAGCCTCACCTCCCTTTCTCCAGATGCTTGCCTATTATTCTGCATAACACATACCCACTTCCTACTTCTTTGTACCTCAAGCCTCCAATTAGATTAATTCAACTACAAATCGAGGTCTAGACACCTGGGGAACAGTGGTAAAACATAGTTCCTGTCTTCCCAGAGCTTATGTTCTAGTATGTGGAAACAGGCAACATACAAGTTTTTAAAATACTGTATGTAGTTTATGAGGTTCTTGTCAGCCAGGCCATGTAATTCTATGGACTCTAGCACAGTTCTGGGCACATCTGTGTGCAATAATACTTCTTTACTGGATTTTGTGGATACTATAGTGTTCTACCCATGTCTGCTCTTTGGGGCCAATGAGCCCATTCTTCAGCTACTGGGACTATCAGATGCTGACAGCACACAGCAGCTTCCGTCAGGCAGTGCTTTCTGTGGCAGGAAATTGCCTCACTCAAGGTTACATGCCTCCCATCGGGCCCACATCAATGATTGGTTGATGCAGGGATACAAAGATCTGGTCTCTTTGTCTCAATTTTGGACAACTTGGAAGAGCCATTCTAGCTTCCAAGTTCCCCATAGAGTCAGCTGAAGCCTCTGTTATATTTTCATTGTAGGTCAGCTTACCCCTCTGCTGAATTCTGTCTTCCTCACTTCCTTACATGTGCATCTCCTAAGAGTGCTAGCTCTCCCCAATAAACCTTGTTTGTGGGTCTCTTCATCTTAGTCTTTTTCCAGGGAATCCAACTTAAGACAGTTTGTGTCAGAGTGGTTCTAGCAAGTAAACTCTGAAATGGGGTTTGGGTGGCAGATTATTCAGCTGTTGGCAGACAAAAGGAACTAGGAGCATATGGCGTTCAGATAATAAATGGAGTCCCAGCTCAGATCTGGTTCACGTCATATTCACTGAGACCATGGATCTACCCAGTGGCCATTTCTCCATATGTACATATACCATACCAATTGAAATGGACCTCCTTTGATGTTGCACAACACTTACTTTGGTTTCTGGACCATGAAGTAAAGCAATGAAGGCCATGTGGAGGCCTGCAACTGCCCCATGCCAAAATAATAAATTATAAAAACTACTGTATCTGAGGGGAAATGGAAGAGATTAGTGCCACCCTCAAAAACATAAAGAATACAGGAGAGGTGGGCCCCTGGTAAATTACTTGTTTGGCTTCTACAAAAGCTGAATAGATCACGGCAGGTGACAGTGATTTACCATAAACTTTATGAAATAGTAACTCCAATCGCAGTTGCTGTTTCATATAGGGCAACTTTGTATACCAGTTTAACATAGCCTGTGGTTGGTGTTATATAGCCATCAATCTGGTAAATATGTTGTTTTCCATTCCAATTAGATCAGAAAGGAGGATCAGAAGTTTGCATCCACTTGGGGAGGACAAAAATATAAACTACAGTCTTTCCCCAGGACTGTCTTCTGTCATCATCTAATTGGAAAGAGCCTTGACTATCTGTACATTTGGAAGAACATGATATTGATCCACTATTTAGCAGGTCCTCGAATATTTCATTCAACATCATTTTGTTATATCATTGATGAGATGCCATACGAACTTAACTTTTATTTACGAGTATATCAATTAGCCTATGGTAAATAGGCTAAGGTTTCATTAAAACTTGTTTCCCTTAAAGTTGCAGAACCTATCACCAATGTTAAGTGAGGACTTAAAGTACAGACATACCACAGAGATACTGCGGGTTCTGTTCCAGACCACTGCAATAAAGTGAGTCAAAATATCTTTGCTGGTGGAGGGTCTAGCCTTCAATTTGTAAAACAAAACAGAACAAAAAAAATCCTGCACATCTGTGAAGTGCAATAAATCGAGGTGCAATAAAACAAGTTATGCCTGTATCTAGAGCATCATGCTAATCATACCAGATGAGCAAGAAGTGGCAAGTACATTGGAGGCCCTGAAAAAAATACATGTATTCAGAGAATGGGAAATAACCCTAAAAAGATTCAGGAAACTGCCACACTGGTGAAATTTTTAGAGGTCAAGTAGCTTGGATCTCTTCAAGGTGAAAAACCAATCATTGTATCTCATACCTTCAACAACTACGAAAGAAGTAAAATACAAATTTCTTAGGATTCTAAAGCAATATATTTCACACTTGAAAATTTAAGCATACAACTCTCACCAATTTACTAACTGACACTAAAGGCTATCA